GAGATCTGCATATGTGGGACTGTGGGGTAACACTGAAATATAATTTTATCATATTTTATCTATATCTTAAACTATTGTATTCTATTCCAATTTCATTTTAGACTGTATTTTATTCCAATTTCATTTTAAATCGTATTTTATTTCATTTTAGACTGTATTTTATCCAATTCCATTTTAAATTGCTTTATCAAATTTTAGTAATAATTTGTTTCTGGAACTTTGCACTTTGATATGGCCCAAGGGCTAATCAATCAATCAATAAAGAATGTTAAATCATTGCAGCATCCCTGCAGTCATGTGATCACAATTTGGACACGTGACAACTGTTATCTATTTACGATGGTTGCAGCATCCTGTTGTCACATGATTATCACCATTTGCAACCAGCTGGCTTCCGGGAAATGGCAGAGGTTGTAAAATCAGGCAGTGTCCCCTAATGACTTAACAACCACATCGTTTAGTGACTGACGTTGCAGTCCCAATTGTGTTTGTAAATTGAGGACTACCTGTAGATGTGGAGACATTGGATTAATGATAGGGAAGTACATGTATCTATTCCTATTGATTTATTTTTTATTGTACTTCCTTGTTTATTAGTGGAATGATAGATCACCCACCTTAAAAGGAATTTGCGATAAAGAAAAGCAATGAACCTACGGCATAAAAGTAAACATTAAAAAAAAGCAACTTGTCAATTTAAGGAGAGATTTGATTTGAAAAACAAATCCTAACAGCTGTTGAACAATGGAACAAACTTACTGTAGAAAAGGTGTGGTTTCCTTGATAAGAGAATGTTTAAGCAGAGACTCTTAGGGGATGACATAGTGGCTTTTCCTGCACTGGGCAGGGGGTTGGGTTAGATGATCTCAGGGTCCCTTCCAACCCTTATATTCCCTGATTTTGCTGCTCTTTGCTGTTGTATTCATCTGTCAATCAGTGTTCCAAAGAAAGTTCTATTTCCATTTTTGAGTGTTTGGTAATAATATTTTGGGGAGTAACATGAATTTCTCATAGCACAACAGTTTAGGTCTTGATAACGCTAAATGATGAACTTACGTAGAATTAATTACCAACAATTGCTAAGTATTTTTTCCCCCAATTTTCCAAAATAGTTTTCACCAACATCAATAACTAAGTGGCCATTGCTATCAGAATGATACTACAAATGAAATGTATCAACCAGTGAATTCTAGAAAATTTAAACTAATGTAATGCCATTTTCCAAGGATATAGTACTATTTATGAATTATTTTTATAATACATTCTGGATAACTAAACTCTGAGATCAATTCATCTGGATCTTTTTTTCTGCTATATATGGGGAATTCCTCAAAGCCCTACCCCCATGCTCCTTTTTATACCCACCCTCACATCTCCCCCCAAAAAACTTAAAATCAATCTTTGGGGAAGGGTTATTTTTCCCTTTCTCTCTCTTTTTCCTTTTTTTGTAGAATTAAGAAGGAAAGGGGTGAAAGTTTTCTGTGGAAATCAACTCATTTTTCCATCAATGTTCTCAAACTGTCAAAAATAGCCTCAAGTCAGTCCCATTGTGTTTCCATCTTATTGGTGGTGGAGCGAGTATAAAAAGAGGAGCAGTTTACCTTTTTAATGGATGCTTCCTGCAGAATCTAAATCTTCCTTCCTTTAGAATCTAAAAAACAAACCAAACAAAACCCTTATATTGGACTCACTTGCCCTTTCTGAAGAGGTCCATGTCTTCAGGTTCCTCCTGTGGTCTTCTCAGTGGTTGGGAGCCTGAGTTGTCCTTCCCAGCTCTACCATGCAGTCTTTCAATCTGACTTTTAGCTGCAGAGCCCAACTCTTCATTCTATAGTTTTCAAGTCTTTCATGAGAGCCTGTGATAGTTGATGCAGCATTGAAGATATTTCTCTGACTTAAAATTATATGGATATACTGTGTTCTTAAAAATACTACTAACAGTTCTGCAAGTGATATTTATGTAATAAACATCTAAAAAGTTGGCGGACCTTGTTTTATTTGTAATCACTTTGGAAGTGTTGACTGGTTCTTTAGTACAACACAGCTTAAGAGCCTTGGTGGCTCAGTGGTTAGAATGCAGAATTGCAGGCTAATTCTGCTGACTGCCAACAGTTCGATTCTCACCATGCTCAAGGTTGACTCAACCTTCCATCCTTCCGAGGTTCGTAAAATGAGGACCCAGATTGTTGGGGGCCATAGGCTGATTCTGTAAACCGCTTAGAGAGAGCTGTAAAGCACAATGAAGCAGTATATAAGACTAAGTGCTATTGCTATTGTTAAGCAGAGAACCATTTCTCATACATGGTTAGGTCTCTAAACTTTTACAATTTCTCTGTTCCTATTTTTCACACAGCTCATATTTAGATATTTGAATGTTCTCCAAATGGTTCTCATATGTTTTGCTGTTGAGACCTTCGGAACATAGATGTAGCTCCCATGGATCTCTGGTTACATTTCAATGTCTGTGTGACCATGTTCCCACAAAGTGGGCTGGTTTGGAAATCTAGTTGTAGTAGATGTCAGAAACTGAATTATGGTTCTGAATTATACAACATCTGGAAATATACTGTAGATACAATTTCTTATCTATGCTGCATTTTCTCTGTGATCTGATAGGGCTTGCAAAATCTGCAGTTTACTCCTGAAGATTCATACATAAAACTAACCAGGAAGCCAAGTATGCAAAATTTGGGAAGTGTTTCTGTCCTGACATGACAACTGGGGTTTTTTTTTATGTTATTTAAAGTTCCTTGATGAATCATTTCAAAAGAAATTCTATGAATTTTTAATTGTATTATTCAGGGGGTGGATTGTGTAATGCAGACATATTGGTCTGTTTGTCTTGATAGTGTTAGTTATTGTTAGTCAGTTAGTGCTGACACATATTTTTCTTTCAAGGCACTTAACAGATTGAGAAGAAAATACTTTCATAACCGGTCAGTCCCTTAATTGTAGTTTCTCCCCCTCATCTTACTTCTTGCATCCTGGGATATTTTCACTTCTTTCTGGAACCACCTCCCCATTCCTTCTTATTTTGGAGTTATTCTCTAGAGGAAGCTTTGCCGTATCTGGCATATAGTCCTCAGAAAGAGACTCAGCAAGGAAATTATTTGCAACAAATTGAACAAGAAATTATGAAGGGTGGAGCAGATACTGTCAGAGCAGTGAGTTTTCTATTACCCATTAATAGTGGGATGGCCTTTCAGACTACTTTATTCTTCTAAGGAACAATGAGAATAGTATGGCAATGCAAGCCAGTGCAGAAGATAAGTGTACAGAAATGCCCTGGGACAGCTAAGCTTGCCTGGAAACATAGAAATTTTCAGTAGCTGAGTCAGGGGTGAAATTCAACCACCTCACACCACCTCATGCCACCTTGGGAGAGGTGGTAGGGACAATTTGAATCAGTTGGCCATGTCCATGTTTGCTCGTCTTCTTCCTTTTAGAGACCGAGTCCCACCCGCAACACCTGCCCGACTTTTACAGATTGAGTCCCACCCCCCACGCCCCCACACCTTTTAGAGACTGAATCCCACCCACCCCATGCCTGCCCGCCTTTTAGAGACTGAGTCCCACCAAGCCACGCCCACCAAGCCATGCCCACAGAGCTGGTAGGGAAAAATTTTGAATTTCAACCCTGAGCAGAGTTTACTATAAGAATTGTCCCATTTGGCTTCCATTAGTGGGAAGGATCAGGACCTCTCAAAGGTTGTCTTGGAAAATTGAGAGGATTCTTCAGGACAAAATTCATTTGGGATAAGCAGGTTGTAGAAAGAAGAAGAATGAAAGTGAATGTGTAGTATTCAAATCCACTTAATTATTTTTTTTTTTGGATATTTTATCCGCTTTTCATTATTTTTATAAATAACTCAAGGCAGCAAACCTAACTAATAGTCCTTCCTCCTCCTATTTCCCTTCAAAAACAGCCCTGTGAAGTGAATTGGGCTGGGAGAAAATGACTGGCCCAAAGTCACCCAGCCAGCTTTCATGCAACACATGGCCACCACTGAATAAATGATCATTTCTCCATCTACTGTTCTTCAATTGTATTGGCCATTGTCTATTGGCCATACTGGCTGGGAATTCTTGGAACATTAAACAATCACATCTGGAGGACATCAGGTTGGAGAAGACTAGAACAAGATGTCAGTGGGCGTGAAAGACAGAAATAGCCAAGTGAGATGTCACAGTGTAGAATAGATAATATTTGCTGAATCTTCTGCTCCAGTCTCTGTGTATGTCTGGCCCTTCAAGCACGAAGGACAGTGATTAGTGGTTATTCATCTCCCAGCAAATAAAGCTGGGTGGTA